CTCTTTGGGATCATAATACATGTCTAAAAGAAGTATTACACTGGAGATTTGCCACTTTTTGAAATTTTGGTCAGCTTTCATCTACATTAGAATAGGGGGGGTGGGGGGAAATAGACATGGTAATTTATGATTCTGTAGGGACTGGATACCCGTCTCAAACATACTCACATGTGTTCACCTGCATAATCCACACACACTGACTAACTAACAATCCAAGTTTGAGATTTAATACTGCTCTCTCTTGTTTGAAATTCAAGCATGCAATTTAATGTAAGTGCTGAATCTACTTTGAGATTTAATAACAGTTGATGAACAAAAACCTGCATTTATTACATAAAGGAGGTTTTTGGACAAAACAACCAACATGCCCTGCTGTAGGAAGTGATCATTTTTTGTCTTATCATAAAAGAGAGTTTGCTTCCAACAACTATGTTCTAAATGTCACTGAAAGCTTAGTGCATGTTCCTGTTACTGGAAGCATTTGAATACTCTTTAGACTTTATAAACTTGAGCATCAAAACAATGGTACATTACCTAGAGAGTTAAAGGCTAATAAAAAAATAATGATGAACAATACTAATAAAAAAAAGATAAAAATTATACAAACCATTCACACATTAAAAGGTTGGAATGATGCAACATACAAACAACTTGCCTAGGCCTATCTAATGGCTGAGAGTGTCAGCACGAAGCCAACCATGACTCACGACTGGTGAACCAATGCTGCTACTGGGTCGAATTGTCAAGGATATTGTTTTCTTTGTGACATTCATGTGCAAATTACCAAATGTCTACAAGAAAAGTTTCATCTTTGTGATCAGTGCCATTTCATGTCAAACACATGAAGTAAAAGGTTTGGTTCCAACTGTTAACTAACTTCAGAAACAGAGTCTTAAAAGAAAAGAAAAGAAATGAAAGCTTCCATGCTCATTTTCCCAGCACAGGCTGGTTCATCACATATACTGCCCCTTGTAGTATTCACACAAGGGTGTGAAAGCATTGTAAGCAGAGCCTTCTTAGGGAAGCAAGTGGCTTAGCATACTTGAATGACATCACCTCCCCTTTGTGATGGAAACCTCACAATATCTAGCGATCTCCATGGTGTCCGTATCCTAAGTCAAAACCATTGAACAAAAGTTGAATAAAACTTGTAGATTACACAAAAGAGAGGAGGAGGGAAGTGACTTTTGTCTTTTTTTCACTCAAACAGGACGAATATGACCAACAGGACTTCCATGTTAACACAGCTAGAGCATTAATTCTTACACAAAAGTTGAAGTCTCTTACAGATCATTCTGACTTGTGGCTTGCTTTCGTCAATTTTGTGCTAAGCCACACTTTAAAATTCCTATTAGATATCTTTTTCTTTTGGCTGCTGACACAAATATTACTATGGTCCACATGCTACAGGTGTGAGGAACGAGCATCATCAGAACTGCTAGTGATTCAACCTATTTGTGAAAATGTCAGCAACTATGAGCCTAAAATACATTTTCAAATTTTGTACAAGGGCCCAATATGGAAAGGAAACGAGATGAAGTTGCCAATGACACTATTTTTGCCCCCTTATAACTGGAAAAGATAAGCTCATGAAAAAAGAGAAGTTTCAAGTATGAAGTTTCCTATGGAAAAACAGTTTTCTGATGAGGACAACACCTTCATCTGACTAGGGAAACACTTCCTGGAAACTGTTCAACATGCTATGCTTGTCTGAGAAACCAGAACCAAGCTAGTACAGAGGAACTCCTTGAAGAGGATCATTTAAAAGATGCATGTTCCCCCACTTTACAAGTTCCTATACAAAATACATATAATATGAGCATTTTTATGCAGTTCCTCAAAAGCTCATAATGGCTGACCATGCCACAAAAAGAATGATGACAACAAATTCACACAAAGCTAGAGGGTTATTTTCATGACACAGGATCACCGATTTATGAGCCTAAGAAACACGATGTTAATGCAAGAAAATTTTTGTGTATGACAATTCTCAAATCTTACAAAAAAAAAGAAAAAAGAAAAAAAAAAAAGAAAATTGTTGGCTCAAAGTCACTGATCTTGTTACATGATATATTGAGCAAAGAGGGCTTCTCTATTTCAACCGAGACCATCAGACTTTGCTTTCCTTCCAGTGCCAAAGAGAATGATTATTGGGGTTTGGCCAGCATATGGAGAGTAGAGTACTATAAATTACCTTGTTTCATCACGTTCTATCATGACTGTGATTAATATATGTAATAGTAAAAAGAAAAAGTAATAAGCAGATTAATGCTTACAGGACTGAATGACAGAAATTCTTTTTTAGATCCTGTGTTTCATTTAATGACTTAAAAAGGAATTTTTGGCCTGTAAGCTCACCAGAAGAATCAGAAGTCCTGTCATGAAAAGACCTACATATCCATAACATACAGTTAATACAAGATTGAGACAGTGTTTTGTGAAGATAGATTTCTTTTGCTTAAAGAAAGCTCTCCTCATATGTAACACTTTCTAAAGCTCACATTTACTGGTCTCCTCATATACAGTATATACACTAAACCAGAAAGAGCTGGCCCTGTTAACAGTCTAGTTCTCATGAAATCAATAAACATTTCTTTGCATACTAACATATTCAACAAAGTAATGAAATCTGATCTTTTTTATATATCTTGCAAGCAACAGCCATTTCAACGAATGAGATGGAAGTTCATAGAAACTGAACCATTTTTGCTCATCATAGAAATGCCAATCTAACCTTTCTTAACAGGGGAGGGGAATCTAAAGCACACTGGCATTGTGGCCACGAGAGCACCTTGGGGGCCCAGGCATCTACGGAAAAATTCCGGCCATACATGGACCAGACTTTGGAAATCCTAACCATTATCTGGATATACAACAAATAAATATGGAGGTGACATTAGTATTTCATAAATAAGGCTAATTACATATTACAAAGAGCTCAAATTTATATTCATACATGGAAAACAATATAGCCTAGAGAGAACAGGGTTGTCAAATGTTTACATTTCCTACAGCTAGCTAGGAATCAACCAGTTATTCAATGGTTTGGTTGGAGGGATAAGGAAAGCATGGATGTTGACACATTAAATTCCTCTGGCCATCGCTCACTTGAAGACTCAACCATCTGCAGGGGACTGAGAAAGTAAAAAAAAAACAAAAAAAGACTATTAGCTGCCAAATATGAGAAAAAAATCTATGTCAACCTAAATTAACCAAAGTAGTCAAAACATGCTATGAGACTATATACAGGAATATTTCAAACCACTAAATATAAGTAAATTAAAAAAAGATTCTTACCTAAATCCTAGCCTTACTGACTCATTATCAAATTCCTCTAATTCTCGTGCTTGCTTTTCTTGCATGAGACGTATCCTTTCCTGTTTCTCACGCTGGAACCTTGCGATTTCTTCACTCATCTGTTATGAGGAAAGTGAATCAAAAAGAAATTCCGGTAATCATCACACTCGCGACTGAACTTTATACATATACAAAAGAATACCTTCTGCAAAAAAAAAAATAATAAGTTATACTACACAAAACATTAATGGTTAGGTGACAGTGAACAGAGATCAACAAACAGCTTTCTGACCTTTTGCTGCAATAATGTTCTTCTTAGAGCAACTCTCTCATCCAGCTCTCGCTTTTCACGGTCACGCTGGGCCTCTGCGTGTTGACGGTTGCGGGTCTGGTATTCAGTAAGCATTTCTAATTCTCTATCCAACTTCTCTGATAACTGCTGCTGCTCTATTACCTGAAGATTAAAAAAAAGAAAAGAATTATGATGTGGTGTTATAAATAGAAATATAATCTAAAAAAATACAAAAAAACAAAAAACAAAAACAAAATTAAAAACAGTAGGGAAAGTAGGAATCAAACTGCATTCATATTTTCCCTTCTCTAACACGCACTACAAGGATAGGCACCAAAGTGTATACTCTACCTTTCAAGTCTAAGAAATACAAGTACTGATCACAAATCTAAAATGCAAAATCAAAATAAAAAATAGAGAAAAAACAACGAAAAAACAAGGAAGAAAAAAAAAATCTTCTCAAAACTCAAATGGGTAGAATGGCTAAAAAACAATAACTGATTTCCTTTTCTTCATTAAACAGGAATAAGGACATTAAGAACAATTCAAAATAACTTCTGGTCTAAAATGACTTTGGATACATGATCACACAAAGCATAAAAAATGCCTATTCTTGCTATGTGCTGCCTGGCACATATATCCACATGGATAATACATTCTTTTTATTATACCATGAAATTCAAAATGTTATCCTACACATACTGCATATCCTACAGAATGTCATATAATGGGTTATAATCATACATACAAACAAATCTGTACTGGTTTTGTTCTCTTTCATTATGCTTGATCTCCTGTCATTAATAATAATCCTTTATTTCATTAATCGTATTTTATACACAAAAAAAATCAAATCTTAGCAATCCACCAAACCTGGTGCATCCTAATCATCCTTTCCCCCCCATGTATAGTGACATAATTTCACCCAATGAAAAAAGAAAACCATTTTTAATTCTTTACTTTTTTTTTTCATAGTATCTGAAGTTATTTATACGATCTACTACTACTGAATACAAAGCTCTGTCCAAAGTCTTATCAAATTGACCTGAAGCACAAAGTGACCCTGGACACTATTTTCTTTTTTTTTTCTAATAAAATGATAACAATAATGAAGAGATAACAAATACCTTTGTTCAAAAATTTAAAAACTTGTGTCCGGAATCACCCAGTTCTACTGAAAATTCTCAACAAAACTATCCAGCTATATTCTCAGGACAATCAATGCATACAGAAAACATCTACTCATGTGGTGTAACTTTACTAAAATGGAGAGAAAAAAGAAAAAGATAATGAAAAAAAAATCAAGTTTCACCACCTTCCAATTTATGTTATTAGTACAAGTTCTGTACAAGACAAACATTGGGATTCTAGACACATATACGTGCCAAATCTTATTCCCCTAGATATATGCCATCAATATGTACCATTTTTCCTCTGCCCTTTGCAATATTGCCTGATCATTCATTCATATCGATCCAATGCCAAATATTACACACCTGACTCTCATCCAGCCTAAGAGACTGTCTCTGAAGCATTTCGGCAATGGATTGTTCATATTGGTCAGCAAGCATGGCTAGTTTTCTTCGCTGATCATCTTTTAATCTCTTGATTATAGCCCGTTGTTCATCTTTAGGTGTCTTAGATAAGATCTGTGCTTTATACTCCTTATACTGTTGTCGCTGTATATTGATAGTGTCCCTGAACTGCCGACGTATTTCTATCTCTTTTTGCTGCAACAAAGATCTACAGTTAAAAACATAATAAAAATCAAAAGCAGTTCTTTATGTTCTGTAAATAAAAATACTGGCCATCCCATTTGTGATTACACCAAAAAACAAAAAATTATGGAAAATAAACACAAAAATCATGAATAGAAGGGAAACTAAAGAAAGAAAATTCAACCATGCATATCTCAAAGAAAAAAGAAGTATTGTACAAATGACTGTCATACTTTTCCAAATTTATTCTTATGCACATGATAGCTTTTCTTCTATGTTCCTGTGAAGAGAAATCTTACATTCTATACAACTTGAACATTAAAACTTAAGACAAACTAAAATGAATGTGTTAAAACAATATCTCATAATGATGCCAATGCTAAGTACTTCCTTAAAGCAATATCAATATTATTATGAGTATAATAATATATGAAACCATCCAAAAATTTATGGTTTTAAATAAAATATATAACAAACATAAAACAGATAAAAGATTCATACTTTTAAGCTCTTAGGTTGTTGTTTTTGTTGCAAAGCATGCTTTTTTCTCAGCTCTCTCTCCACTCTCTTCATATACTCATGTTGACTACTCAATTCCGTCTGGTGTTGTTTATTCATCTGTAAAGAGAGGTTAATTAATAATGAATAATAAACATGCATAGCAATAATAGCATAATATTTGCATAACACTGCCCTGAATAGCATGGAGCAGTAAGAGGCACAGAATCTTGTCTCAGCATCAGTGAAATATGTATTGTAAGTAAGTGTCTCCATACACTAATTTCATTTCTGTTAATTGAATCAAGGCATTGAATTGGGAATACATGTTATCTGTATTCCAGCAGAATAACTTATACTTATCTTTATACCATTCCTCTCTCATAATCACTCTCTAGCTCTTTTTCTCAAGTCCATTTCCTCTCTTCCAAATTTCTTTTTTTTTTTCTCTCTCTCAATTTCCACTCTCTTTCATTTTCTTTATCTCACTTACAATCCCTTTAGTCTTTAATACTACCTTAACCCCTACAATTTGGATGACACTACAGTCCTGTCATGGCTGTCATCGAGCAAAATGGCAGTGGGCTGGGTGATGTAAACTTGCCGTCATGAGCAAAGGCCAGGGTGACAGGAAAGACTGACCTCTTGGAGTGTGATTTGACTCATTTAGCACTTAGAAGGGGGCTTTAGCATTATTTCCATCGATATACGAATGTGGAATGTAAGGAGCTTAAGCCGTGACTGGAAGAGCGCCAGCTCTAGGGAGGAGGCCATTTCCATTCTGCACATTGTGTTCTTGGCCGTGTGACCAGCGGCGCAGGTTGTATTACATAAAATTGAAAATTATGAAACAATAAGATATTTAACACAAATCAGCAAATGTTCCATATTTTACATTTTTCTTGCAATGAGTTTTTTACTAAATAGGAAAATGATATGGAGTCTGTGCAAAGAAAATAAGCTATTACCATCTGGATAAAGCAAATCAAAAGACGAATATGGACACTGGAAAATGGCAAAAAGTTAAAAAAAAGTTTACAGACAATAACTTTGCAAAGGGGAGGCACGGAGTCTTGTCACCACTCATGGGTGTTCGTGCACCCGGCCTATGTGCCACATGCCCAGAATGTTGGCTACTTATGTAACCCACTGCCCATATTTTAGGCACCATGATTTCCGTGACGTAACTGGATCCACCAGGTTAAATTGTACCACATTCATTCTGTGAACAGTCATGGAATTTTCTTACCTGCTCCTCCTTTAAAGCATGAATGGCTCTCTGTTGTCGGTATTCCAAATCCTGTGTTAACTGATGATGCCTTAGAAGCATGGAATGCGCTGCTTCGAGCTGCTGCTCTCTCTTTGTGAGTTCCTCCTTGAGAAGTGTTTGTTCCTTGGCATAATAAGCCAAGAGACCACGTCGACGGAACTTGCGAGTCTCCAGCTGCAAATATTCACCTTGCTGTTGCACCAACTTTTGCTCTTCCTGACGTTCCGAAGCTTTAAGGTATTCTTTCTGGCTCCTGTGATAAGACAATGTTACAAATGACAAGTTGTAAAAACTTTGTGTATATATATTTTTTTTTTTTTTTTTTTTAAGCATTGCAAGAATCTCCAAAACAATTCCGATTCTAACATAGGAAGACACTATAAACTAAAAATATTAACCCCTATGATCCGGATGACATGACCATCACACCTGACCATCACATTACGAGAAAATTTGGCTGAGGGCCAGGGAAACACTAACTTGCCATTGTGAGAATATGAGCTGAAGGCTGAAAGTTATGGGAAAGATTTGCCACGGGTGCACAAAGACACTGAAGGGTGATGAGACTCATTTGGCATTTAGGAAGGGGCTTCTGCATTATTTCCATCAATAAACAAGTGTGGAATGTAATGTCCATGAGCCACGACTGGAAGAGTGCTGGCTCCAGAGAGGACACTAGTTCCATGCTCATGATTCTATTCCTGCTTGCCATGACTGGCAATGCAGGTTGAATTACAGAAAATTAAATTCATAAAATATAATATTTAAAAATCACACAAATAACAAAATATTACTTTCTGTTCTTATAATTGCATTGAGTTATTGACTAACTAAAGAGATGATATGGTGTCTATTTATGGTAAAGTCTATTACATCTGGATAAAAGAAAGCAAATGGCAAACATAGACTGAAAAATGGCATAAAAGCTAAAAATGCTTATGTAGAAAAAGAGAAAACAACACTGTAAAGGGGAGGCATGGAGTCTTGTTATCACACACAAATCTTCATTTGGCCTAGCCTACAAGCTGAGTAATCCTAATGCCCGTAATTTGGGCCACATCATGGAAGTGGAGCATCCGGATCTAGGTACTACATAAAACTTCGCCAAAGCAAAATGACTCTATAACAATGTCAATAGTAGTAAAATTTGAGTGCAGTGCAAACATAATAAGCATGATTGTATGTTTGGCAGTGAGGGTGCATGTTTCTGTATGGCTGTGGATTCATGTTTGTGGGTATATGTTCATGTTTTTGTTTATTTGTTTGTTTTTGTTTTGTCTTTACTTGTTTGTTTCTCTCTCTCTGTGCTCGTCACTGGATTCAAAGCACTCTTCAACTTATTACCTAGTTACTGTGTCAGACATTACAAATATATGTGAAGCATATTTTGCATTTCTGGTCTGAAAATACCATTAACTCAAATGAATGAAAACATTAATGAAACTGTAAGTAAAGCTAAAAACACATAGCATGAGTTGGGACATGAAATGAGTAACTGCAAAGCAAACACTTAATTTTTTGTTATTTCATAATAAAGATGTTTCTCTGGATCGTTTCTTACAAATTATTCACATATAACATGCAAGATATAGCAAGAAGCAACAAACAGTGAATAATTCTGGTTCTTGTTAACATCCTCTGAACAAATGGCCAATTGCAAAAATTAATACATACTGAAGCTGTGCTTCTCTCTGTTTTTTGGGAGTATTTGGATCTTGTGAAAGTTCTTTCTTCCATTTTTCTATATTCTCCTTGTACTGCTTCTTGTACTGGGACTGGAAGTGTTTAAGTTCTATACCATGTCTACCATTGATGTCCTTCTGTAAATTCTTCTCTGCCACAGTGCAGCTGTCAAGTTTCTTTTCCTGCTCTTTCTCATGTTTCTGGCAATAGAAATATATAAGATGTTTATAATCAATACAAAATAAAATATATTTCTTTAATCACTTGTTTCATTAGCACAACAACAAAACTACAAATTAAAGAGCAAAATTATTAATACAATATTTTCTCCCCTTCTTTGTCAAGGAAATATGCTTTTCCCTATTCTTTGATATCTGCCTTCACCTGGTGACGTACTGCAATTCTCTTTCCATTTTTCCTGACAGCATTTTCTTCTTTTAACCCACTAACAACGGCTGTCCCACATATGAGACACCCGAAAAAATAAACATTGCCAGGCGTCCCGCCAATGTGACACTGTATTGGGGCTCGTGCTCCGACACAGCAGCGGGCCGCGATTTTGTAGCCGCCCGGAATCATTTATTTTTGGCTTCAAAATATACCGGCATTACTGTTACTTTCTTCCTTAATTTGCATTACAATTTTTTCTCCCTCTTACAAATGCAAGTGCACTAGCACGCACGCACGCACGCACGCACGCACGCACGCACGCACTCACGCACTCGCACGCACGCACGCACGCACGCGCACGCACGCACGCACGCACGCACGCACTCACTCACTCACTCACTCACTCACTCACTCACTCACTCACTCACTCACTCTCCCTTTATTTGACTGACTGACTAATTGAATGACATACTCACTCACTCTGTGGCTATGTTGAGCATTACTTTTTCACAAATGAAATGCAAGAAACTAAAAATGGGAAGAAAATACAATTCTACTCACCTGTCTGAGTTTCTCCAGTTCTTTACTAAACTGTGTTAGTAACGCCTCGTACTCTTTATCCAGCAAGTGCTTGTGGTTCTCCATCTCAACCCGGCACTTTTCTTCAAGCTTTAGGAAAACAGGTGAAAAAAAATGTTAACTAATCTTTTCTTTTGTTCTTTCACACAACAAAGTCTTAATATAACTAGTAATCAATATTTCCATTTCCTGACTGACAATTGCGTGCAAACAGTGGCTTGTATGAATGAGATACCTACAAAAAGATTTCTCTCTCCAACTCCCCTTCCCTGCTTACTGTTTTCCTAACTAATCTGCACTCCTGATATTTTAAGAACCTTATAAAAACAAATAGTACTGCTACAATCACAAGAATGAACACTACTACAACTGCAAATACCTGTCAGATTCAGAGCTTACCTTGGCTTGAGCACGTTGGTGTTCTTGCCGCATGCGCTTGTATCCAGACATAGCAGCATGCATGTCCTCCTGAAGATGCTCCTTTTGCTGTTTGCTGACAATGGACGTCGTCTTTATGGTTGCAAAGTTGCTGTTTCCCTGGTCGCCAAGGTTGCCACTCGGCTGTGTTATGAGAGATATATCTTAAATGATATGTTTAACTTTTGCTTAAAATAGAACAACTTACTTTTCCTTTAGACTCAGGTCAAATGGATTTAAAGATTCCATCATTATCCAACTATTGCAATTTTTCTCAATGATCAACTTATTTTTTGAAATTAAACAATATAATGAGAACATAAGATAATAATTGGCAGGGGTAAATTATAAAGACCAGACTGACTTTCTAAAATATAACTTCCAAAAGAAAAAAATTGCAAAACACACACACACACAAAATAAAAATAAACACCTATTTTTTTTTTAAGCATTGTCATATACAATTTCAAATGCTTTATATCCCCTTCTCTCTCACTCCCATTTATTCCTCAATTAATCATAAGACTCGTATGCATTCTCTCACTCACTCATTCTCTCCCTCCCTCTCTCTTCTGTTTCTCTCTCTCTCTCTTCTCTCTCTCTCTCTCTCTCTCTCTCTTCTCTTCACTTCTGTTTCTCTCTCTCCCTCTTTCTCACTTCTGTTATTCTCTCTCTCTCTCTCTTCTGTTTCTCTCTCTTCTGTTTCTCTCTCTCTTCTGTTCTCTCTCTCTTCTGTTTCTCTCTCTCTCTGTTTCTCTCTGTTTCTCTCTCTCTCTCTCTCTCTCTTTCTCTCTTCTCTTCTGTTTCTCTCTCTCTTCTGTTTCTCTCTTCTGTTCTCTCTTCTGTTTCTTCTCTCTCTCTTCTGTTTTCTCTCTCTCTCTCTGTTTCTCTCTTCTTCTGTTTCTCTCTCTCTGTTTCTCTCTCTCTGTTTCTCTCTCTCTGTTTCCCTCCCGTCTGTTTCTCTCTTCTGTTTCCTCTCTTGTTTCTCTCTCCTCTGTTTCTCTCTCCTCTGTTTCTCTCTCTTCTGTTTCTCTCTCTCTGTTTCTCTCTCTCTGTTGTTTCTCCCTCTTCTGTTTCTCTCTTCCTCTGTTTCTCTCTCTCTGTTTCTCTCTCTTGTTTCTCTCTCCTTGTTCTCTCTCCTCTGTTTCTCTCTCTTTGATTCTCTCCTCTCTCTTCTCTCTCCTTTCCGTTTCTCTCTTCTCCTTTCTGTTTCTCTCTCTCTCCCTCTTCCGTTTCTCTCTCTCTCCCTCTTCCGTTTCTCTCTCTCTCTCCCTCTTCTGTTTCTCTCTCTCTCCCTCTTCTTTCTTCTCTCTCTTCTCTCTCTTTCTCTCTCTCTCTCTCTCTCTTTTCTCTCTCTTCTCTCTCTCTCTCTCTCTCTCTCCTCTACTTTTCTCTCTCTCTCTCTCTCTTTTTCTCTCTTTCTCTCTCTCTCCTCTCTCTCTCTCTCTCTCTCCTCTACTTTTTCTCTCTCTCCTCCTCCTCTACTTTTTCTCTCTCTCTCTCTCCTCTACTTTTCTCTCTCTCTCTCTCTCTCTTTTCTCTCTCTCTCTCTCTCTCTCTCTCTTCTCTCTCTCTCTCTCTCTCTCTCTCTCTCTCTCTCTCTCTCTCTCTCTCTCTCTCTCTCTCTTCTCTCTTCTCTCTCTTTTCTGCTTCTCCTCTCTTCTCTCTTCTTTCTCTCTCTCTCTCTCCCTCTCTCTCCTCGTCTCTCTCCACCTTCTCTCACCACTTCTCTCACCCTCTCTCTTCACCTCTCTCTCTCGTCTCTCTCTCTCCTCTCTCTCTCTCTCTCTCTCTCTCTCTCTTTTTCTTTATCTTCTCCTTCTCAACTCATTCTCACACCTTCTCTCACCCCAATCTTCTCCACTCACCTTCACCCCTGTTACTCTCTCCTACTATCACTTCTCATCACCACTCCTGCTCTCTCTCCACCCAGTTCTCGTCTCTTTCTTACCCAATTCTCTCTTTCACCCATCTCTCTCTCTCTCTCCCCACTCTCTTCCTCTCACCCCAATCTCCTTATCTCACCCCCTACTTCTTCTCTTCACCCCACCTCTCTTCTCTCACCCTCCTCTCTCTCCCCAATCTCTTCTCACCCTACCATCCTCTCTCTTCATCCACTCTCTCTCTCTCTCTCACCCCATCCTCTCTTCTCACCCCTCGCTCTCTCTCTTCTACCCCGCACTGTCTTCTCCCGTCTCTCACCCCACGTCTCTTCTTCTCTGGTACCCTCTCTCTTCTTCTCTCTCACAACGATAACGTACACTCTCTTCTCTCTCTCCTCAACCCCGTATACTGTCTCCTCTCTCTCTCTACCCCATCTCTCTCTCTCTCAAACGCCTCACTCTCTCTCTCCTCA